CTTTCGAGCCCGGCTGCGCGCGGCGAGCGCGGGCGACGCCCAGACGTCGACTGTTCAGGAGGGAAAGAAACACACAGACACAATTAGTCGTCGACTCCCCGGAAAATATAGGAAAATATGGGAACCGGGGGGGGAAGACAATAACCCAGAACATATGGGACAATATGGGAAATCCTGTTACTTGTGTGTATTTATTTGTGTGTGTCCCGAGGCCCCTTCCACTTTGTTGCTTGCGATCGTGACGACTCTGGCCGTGGCTTCCAGAGGGTCTCGGCGCGCCGCCCCGCGCCGCTGCCCGGCCGAGCGCCCGCGCTCCGCCGTGCAGCGCGCCCTGCTCGCCGGCGGCGGCTTTTCCTCGCCCGATGTGCGCAGTGGGGTGCGGGTGGCCTGAGCAACACACTGGGATGCAGCCGGCCCAGGTTAGTAGGTCGACCCTGCCAAAGCAAGGGCGCCGCTGCCGACCGAGCACCTGCGTTCCGCCGTGGTAGCGCCCTGCTCGCCGACGACGGCTTTTCCTCGCCCGATGTGCGCAGCGGGGTGCGGGTGGCCTGAGCAACACACTGGGATGCAGTCGGCCCTGATGAGCAGGTCGACCCTGCCAAAGCAAGGGTGCCCTTGTGTCCCGTGCCTCGCGACCCATGCTGCCTGCATTCCTGCGGCAGTGTGGCCCTCGGAGGGGTCTCGTGTCCTCTCGCGCGTCCCGTCCAGTCGAGTCCGGCTGCACCTGTTTTCGCTGTTGCTGATGGCTGCGCCGCAGGCCTTGCCATCGGGGTGTCCACGGGGCCCCTCTGCACGCGCGCCGCGCGTGGCCCCGCGGAATCGCGGTGGAAGGCGCCATCGCGCGACGACCAGGGCTGCGCATCGGCCCGCGTGTCCTCGAACCAATGCGTTCAGACATTTTGCCTTTCGCCGTTCAATCCCATTCGGTGCGGCGAGGAAGATCGATGGGAAGCGGCGCCGATGACGGGCTCGCGCGGGGTCGTAGAAATTAGAGGGGGGGCCTTCTCGATCGCAACCATCGAGGCCGCGGCAGTAGCGCAACATTTTCACACGCATGAAGCCATCGAAAGTTGAGCTACCCCTTGTCTGAATCAGCCGGGGAAGGTCTTCTGGTTTCGGTTTGTCTGCCCTCCGCTGGGATTTCGAGAGCATCGGGGAGCCAGGTTCCGCAACCAGGGGGCCGAGCCGGGGCTTTCGGCGCCCGCGACGTCGAAGCCCGAACGGGCGCGGCTTGGCAGTGCAGTCCGTCGTTGTCGTGCGTTCTTGTCAGCGCAGGGCGTGCGGGGACCTCGCGGAGTCCCCGCGGGAAGGCGGCGCTGATCTTTCTGCGACGGCGCCTCGCGCAACAAGGAATGCTTTTTCTGATTTGGGAGGTCACGGCAGTGAAGTAACAAGGATGATGGCACATGTCGGCGATGATGATGAGGGGGCCGACGGTGGTCCCACACCTGGCACGTCGGAAGCTGCGCGGCGGCGCGATGCGGAGCTCGGGGCTGTGCGAGGCCTCTGCGCAGGGGCGCGGGAGCTTGAAAACGATTGTGTGTGTTCGGTCGGGATGTCGCGGTGCTCCGTGCATTAGGACTCGGAGACACTCCCGGAAGCCCGCGATCCCAGGCACGAGGTGCAACGGTTTGTTCGCCAGGATGCTAAAGTGCGCGGGGGTCAGATGGACTACGCCGGGAAAAGCGGATTCTCCTCGCGCGCGCGGGCGCCGTGCTGCGCTCGCGCCTCCTGTCCACGTCAAATCTTGGCAGCTGAGTCTGAAAGCGGCCTTCGGCATTCCATGTCCTCGCTACCCTGCTCCTTCTGTTCCTGCTCCCCCTCGCCGTCGCCTGCGCCGCAGCCTGCTCTCCTCCGTCTTGTCCCTCTTCCTCTCCTCCCTCCTGGTCTCGGCCTCCCTGTTCCCCTCTTCCCCTCCCCTTCTCCTCCCCCCGTCCTCCTCGTCCTCTGCCTCCCCTTGTGCATTTTTTTTGCTATCGAAATCGACGAGTTATGGAGGCGGGCTGCACGACCACACAGCCTGGCCAGGCCAGTCCTGGGTCAAGGATCCTGGCCCCCGGCGCCTTCCTGGCCAGGCTGGCAGCTGGCCGGGCCGGCAGCACGTTTTTTTTTCACCGCTCTCCTGGGGTCTCAGAAGGGGCCTGCGCTGGCCTGGATCGGCGTCGGGGCACACTACCCATCGATCCTTGAAAGTCGGCATTGAAGCTATGTCAAGCGCCTTCCCACTTCAGTGATCGAGCAGCTTCATCTTTTCTGGGGGCGGGCGGATCCCAATCTACTTTCAACGCCCTCCCACTTCGTGTGTCTGCCTGCTTCTTCCGACCGATGGGTACCCCGACGAACGAACAACACACACACCCATACCCATAGGGGGGTCGTTGGGAGGAGGACTGGCTATGGGTATGGGTGCGGGTTGTCGGACCCTGGGGAACACTCCCGTTCGAGCGGGGACCCCCATCCGACAACACGCACCCATAGCCCTCTCCGCCCCCCCTATGGATATGGGTGTGTGTTGTTGGTTCGTCGTACCCGAGCCTCCGATGTCTGGGTGCTTCCGTGCGTTGTGTAGTTCGTCCAGGAGCACGCCTGCACCGCCCCGGAGGCCAACACACGGCCCCTGGGAGGCCGCAGCGGGTGAAAAAGCAAGGAGTTTTGATGTTGACCGCTGTCGGAGGGAGGAGAAGCGACATACCGACACCCACCAGGGGGCCCACCTCCAGCGACGAGGTCCACGATGCCTTTAAGTCGGGCCTGTCCCCCTACAGGGGGATTTTAGACGAAAAACAAAAAATATGCCGAAAATCGGACAGGCACATAACTACACTTTGGGCGAGTGGATTAGTTTCTTGCGCGGATCCCCAAATTCCACATTTAGTTTTGCGACATCGTCTTACGTATTGGTTCGCCCGCCATTCGAGGGGGCCGATCGCGCCTGTCGGATTTACCAGGGCTGCGACTTCGTTTGCCACTGTCAGTGTGGAATCAAGACTTGCGCTTCACGAGTGGATTGGAGGATGAGCGCAAGGTGGGTCTATCAGCTGCGGGGGGGCGCGGGCGTTTGCCGCCACGCAGGTGCCAGGGGCAATTGGGGAACGCGCAGGGGAATGGAGGCCGGCAGGTAGAGGAAGAACGGGGGAGGGGGAGGGCAAAGCAGCGGGTGGGAATGGGGAACATAGTGACCAGGCGAGGTGTTCTGATAGGGGGGCGATGTGGGCGGAAGTCGCAGTTAGAATTCCTCCGGAAAGCCCTGGGACGTTCAGACACCTCCGCCCGGAGGCTGGCAGGGGGTTCAGCGGCCCTTGCATTCCTGACTCTGCGGGCGGGGCGCGACGACGCACCCGACCTGTACCCCGTCCCTTTCGCTATGTGCCGGTCTGTACGTGCTCGCCCCGTGCGAGACATCCAGCACGTTCAGAACTACACTTAGCCAGACACTAGGTGTAGTTCTGTACGTGCTGGTTTCGCCAGAGACATCCTCACAAAACGGAGCACTTATAGAACTACGCCTAGCCAGCGGGGCGGGGTGCATGTCGGGTGCCGCCATTTGCGCTCCCGACGTGTACCGCACCCCGGCCGCGAAGTGCCGTTCTGTACGTGTCCCTTTTTCGCGAAGCATCGGCTGCTCGCGCTGCCCATCGCCGAGGCCCCGTCCCTTGGGCCGCTTCCCACCGACATCCCACATCCCCTGGCTCAGCGAAACCAGCCGTATGCCTGGGGGCCTCGACCTCGCGCAGCCCGCTTCCCTCCCCCGCCCGTGCCCCGGCAACAAATTCGTCATCCGATCCCCCGCGCTTTCGAGTTTTTCTTCGTGCCGGATTCCCCTTCCGAGGGTCAAACGGTTGTTATTGTTATGATTTTGCTTGAGGCCGCCGCCAAGCTTCGCCGTGAAACGTGGTGATCGCTTCCACGCTTGGCTCGCAACGTCGTCGGCACGACCATCGCCTTCCATCGTAGGTCGTGAAGCGGTGTCCGTCCACAGAGACAAACCGACGCGCCAAATCTAACTATGATTGCCACACCTGGTCCCTGCAACAAGGTGCAGTTTTGCTGCGTGTAGTTGTAGATGTGTTCGAGAAAATACCCCAGAAAAGTCAAAACAGATCCCCCAAAATAGTCCCCAGATTATCTTTGGATTATGTTTTGATTATTCTTGTTTTTTTATTTTTCGTCGAAAGTCCCCCTGTAGGGGGACAGGCCCGACTTAACGATGCCTCCCCGAGCGAGAGACTGGGGACGTCTCGAGCGAGAGGGGGGGACCACAGCACCAGGTAGACCCCCTCGCCTCCGCACATCTCCTCGCCCTGGTGGTGTCGGTGCCGCCTTTCCTTGTTCCTACGTTGATGCCTCATCCGCCGACCTTTTTTGCGCGCGGGTGCAACGGAAGTCCCCAGGGGGCCCAAAGAGGGCACTTCAAAGCGTTGGCACACTGCGATGTTCGAGCGGCGCGTGCCCGTCGCTTTGCGAAGAGAAGGCGGGCAGATTTTCTAGTACACGGGTAATTTGAACTGGAGACAAATGGGGCATCATCGGTCGGCGAAACGAGTCGGAGTCGTCTGCAGAGCATGTGACAAACAAGGGGTCAGCGCGAAAGGCGTGGCCGATGCGGCAAAGCGGCTGAAGCGAAAGTTGACGTGCGCGGCCTGCAAAAAGGGATTTCCGCGGCAAGGCCACATAGTTGGCGCGCAGGAGACAGAACACTGCGCGAAGGGAAGGAAGGTGGTACGCGTGGACGACCGCTTCCCGTCGCGGAAGACCATCCGTTTTCAGATTTTCCAGACGATGGAAGTGTGGGTCCAAGGGTCGAACTAGACATGGTCCAAGACAGCAGTTTGGCCAGAACTTCCAGGCAAATCCAGCCGTGGTCACGACTGGGTCCCCCGAGGCCCCAACCGTCCCCAATTTTCGGAGTTCGAACCTCGAACCTCGAGGCCGCAGTGGCCTGAGTGACACCAATGGCGGCGACAGAGGCGGCGGCAATAGCGCAGCGCTGCCCGCGCGAGGGAGCCCACGCCGGGAGCTCGAAGAAAAGGAGGGCCTTGTCGCGGCGGCGCCCCCGGCTGCGCCCGAGGCGCCCGCGGTCGTCGTCGTCGTCGTCGCCGTCGTCGTCGTCGTCGTCGTCGTCGTCTTTGTCGTTGTCATTGTTATTATCGTTGTCGTTGTCGTTGGCGCCGCCGCCGTCATCGTCAGGGCGTCGTCGCTGCCGCCGTCGTCTTGACGGCGTCGCCCCCGGCCGCGCCCGAGGCGCTGGCGGGCCGGCGGACCCCTTGTTAGATGCAATTATGACCAACGTTAGCCAGCGTGGACCCCATACAGTGTGTCTCGATCAACATATGTTGTGCAATCTGTTTGGCGCAACCTGTGTGGTGGAAGCAGTGTTGTGCAGTCCATGTTATGCAATATATGTGATGCAACAGATGCGGTGCAACTTATGCGATGCGCAACCCATGTAGTGCAAGCGACGTGGTGCGATCTATGTTGTGCAACTGATTTTTACCAATGATTTGACACATCGCATGCTCTGGCAAACATCCCACCCACCCACCCGCAACTTCGTTTACAAAACCTCTTCAGACCGACTACGACGACACCGACGACAACGACTACGACGACACCGACGACGTCTCCGACGACTTCGACGACGACGACAACGACTACGACGACGACGACAACGACTACGACACCGACGACGACGACGACGACGACGACGACTCCGACGCCGACGACGACAGCGACAACGATGACGACGCCGACGACGACGACGACGCCGACGACGACGACGAGGAGGAGGAGTAGGGAGGAGGGAGGAGTAGGAGGAGGAATAATAATAAGAAGAGTAACAATAATGAGGAGAAGAGGCATCCAAAGAAGACGACTAGTAACATAAGTAACACGAATAATGGTAATAAGGCTAAGAAAACGAATAAGGTTAACAAGACTACTAACTCTAGTATTGATATTACTAAGAAAAAGCAGAATAAGCAGAGGAGGAGGAAGAGGAGGAGGAGGCGGAGGGAGGAGGAGGAAGAAGGGGGAAGTTGGAGGGAGGAGGGATGAGGAAGGAGGAAGGACACATACAGACAGACAGACAGACAGACAGACAGACAGACAGACAGACAGACAGACAGACAGACAGACAGACAGACAGACAGACATACAGGCAGACAGACAGACATACATGCATACAAGCATACAGATACATATAGTCATACATACGTACACACGTACATTTTTAATAATGGATGCATGCACATGTGTGTCGGAGGGGATCTCGCATTAAAGCGCCCCCGTTGGTAGCCGGCTGGCGGTACGTGTGCACCAGCATGCAAGCCTGACCATCCGAGAAGCAGGCCCGGCCATCTGCAATGTGCGCGAGCACCGGGCCTTGGGGGCCCCCGGCCTCCCCCCCCCACCTGGGGCACCCGTGGTACAGTAAGGTGCGCAACCCATGTAGTGCAAGCGACGTGGTGCGATCTATGTTTTGCAACTGATTTTTACCAATGATTTGACACATCGCATGCTCTGGCAAACATCCCACCCACCCACCCGCAACTTCGTTTGCAAAACCTCTTCAGACCGACTACGACGACACCGACGACAACGACTACACCGACGACGTCTCCGACGACTTCGACGACGACGACATAGACTACGACGTCGACGACGACGACGACGACAACGACTACGACACCGACGACGACGACGACGACGACGACGACGACTCCGACGCCGACGACGACAGCGACAACGATGACGACGCCGACGACGACGACGACGACGAGGAGGAGGAGGAAGGACGAGGGAGGAGGGAGTAGGGAGGAGGGAGTAGGGAGGAGGGAGTAGGGAGGAGGGAGGAGTAGGAGGAGGAGGAATAATAATAAGAAGAGTAACAATAATGTGGAGAAGAGGAATCCAAAGAAGACGACTAGTAACATAAGTAAAACGAAAAATGGTAATAAGTCTAAGAGGACGAATAAGGTTAACAATACTACTAACACTAGTATTGATATTACTAAGAAAAAGCAGAATAAGAAGAGGAGGAGGAAGAGGAGGAGGAGGCGGAGGGAGGAGGAGGAAGAAGGGGGAAGTTGGAGGGAGGAGGGATGAGGAAGGAGGAAGGACACATACATACACACATACAGACAGACAGACAGACAGACAGACAGACAGACAGACAGACAGACAGACAGACAGACATACAGGCAGACAGACAGACATACATACATGCATACAAGCATACATATACATACAGTCATACATACGTACACACGTACAGTTTTAATAATGGATGCATGCACATGTGTGTCGGAGGGGATCTCGCATTAAAGCGCCCCCGTTGGTAGCCGGCTGGCGGTACGTGTGCACCAGCATGCAAGCCTGACCATCCGAGAAGCAGGCCCGGCCATCTGCAATGTGCGCGAGCACCGGGCCCTGGGGGCCCCCGGCCTCCCCCCCCCCACCTGGGGCACCCGTGGTACAGTAAGGGCTCTTTCGCCGCCCAGAGCCCCCTGAAGGCTCCCCCAGCAGCTTCCAGGAGCCCCCAGGATGCCCCGAGCGCCCCCCCACGATGCCTCAGGACGGCGTTCCAACAGCTGCAGAAGAAGCCCCCATGGGGCCCACGATATTCCAGAACCGCCCAAAGCGGGCCCGAGGGGGCCACAAGAGCACCAGAGGGCCCCAAGACCGCCCACGTTCTCCCAACACCTCGACGATCCCCAATGCTTTGACCGTGCCAGGGGCTCCGCACCTCCCTTTCCACGCGGCTCCCGCAGGGCCCCAGGGGAGCCACAGGGGACCGAGAGCAGGTTACTGCCCCGAGAGGGCCACGGGCTGTCCTAAACGGGGGGCCCAAGAGGGTCGAAGAAGGCCTTCAGAGGAGGAGGGCCCCGAGATGACCTGCAAGCGTTCCGCGACGCCCTGGGAAGTCATCCGGGACGGCTCCACGAGAGCCCACGAGGGTAAGGGGGCTCCAGACTGCAGCAGGAGGGCTTCAATGGGGCCACAACAGGGCCCCGAGAGGACCCAAACACGGGCTCACACGCGCCCAGAAGCTTCAAGAGGACCCCACCCCCGAGGGGCCCCCGACGCTTCAAAGGCCCCCCATCCCCCAGCCGACCACCAACCACGGCCGGGGGAGCTGCGGTCATGACCTTCCGGGCGGACCCGTGAGCCTCGTCTCCCCGCTCGAGGGATCGTCGATGCGGTCGGCTCCCCCAGGGGGTAAGGAACACAGCTCCCTCGACGTCGTGATTTTTTCTGCACGTCGACCCCCAGAGGTCTGCACCCCTTCCCCGGGACCCGTTTCTCATCCTGAGTCGTTTTTTGACGGTCCCGAGGCCCGGAAGGGACCCCTGGAGGCCGAGATCGCGAGGAACCTCCCGTCGTGATAGTCTCACAGCGCGGGGAGGTCTGCGAACACAGCTCCCCCAGTCGTGGCTGGTCGGCTGAGCTCGCCTCTTCCCCGCGGCCGCCGCTCGCGCGGCGCGGCGCGCGAGGCCCCGGACAGGCAGGCCACCGCGGAAGATCCCGACGTCGGCTCGCCGCGGGAGGCCAGCCTCGACCTCGACCTCGTCGTCGTCCTCGTCCTCGTCCTCCTCGTCCTCGTCGTCCTCGTCGTCGTCGTCGTCGTCGTCGTCGTCGTCGGCCCGAGGGGCCCCTGGCTCTGCGTGCCGTTCTGGAGCCTCGGAGGCCTTCCTGGGCCTCACGAGGGGTGCGCTCTGGCTGGAGGCCGCCCGGGCCGCCGTCTGGAGGTCGTTGGGGCACCCTGTGGGCCAGGGGCGCATATTTGGCGTCCTGCTCCGCGAGGGCGGAGGGGCCCTGCACAGTCTGTGGCATGTTTCTGGGGCACGGGGCGGTTTTTCTGGCGGCCGCGCCGCCTCGAGAGGCTTCTAGGGGGGCCCAGTGCCGCCCCAAACGGGCCAGTGGGATCCGAGTTGCGCCCCAAAGGTGGTGGTGGTGGTGGTGGTGGTGGTGGTGGTGGTGGTTGTGGAGGTGGTGGTGGTAGTGGTGGTGGTGGTGGTGATGACGCTGATGGTGCTGGTAATGCTGGCGATGCTGGTGATGCTGGTGATGGGTGATGCGTGATGGGTCATTCTGATGCTGATGGTGGTTGTGGGGATGATGCTGATGATGATTATGATGATGCTGATGATGATGACGATGACGATGATGGTGATGATGTTGATGATGTTGATGATGATGGTGATGATGATGATGATGATGATGATGATGCTGTTGCTGATGATGATGGTGATGATGCTGAGTGTGAGGAGGATGATTCTGACGACGACGATGGTGCTGCTGATGATAATGATGATAATGAGGAGGATGAGGGTGAGGATGGGGATGAAAATGGGGCAAATGATGATGACGATGATGATGGTGATAGTGATGATGATGGTGATGATGCTGATGGTGATGGTGATGGTGATGATGCTGATGGTGATGGTGATGGTGGTGGGTGGTGATGGCGATGGCGGTGTCGATGGCGAAGATGATGATGATGGTGATGATGGCAATGGTCGTGATGATGGTGATGATGGTGATTATGGTGATGATGGCGATGATGGTGATGATGGTGTTAATGGTGTTGATGGTGATGATGGCGATGATGGTTGTGGCCATGGATGATGGGTGATGGTGGTGGTTGTGGTGGTGGTGACGATGATGATGAGCAGAAAGAGGAGCAGGGGATGCAGCAGCACAGCAGGAGTAGGCGGAGAGCAGGGACGCCCACGACGACCGCCACCGCGAACCACGAAGCACGGCCGTGACAGCGACCACGACCTCGGCCGCCACCCCAACTGCGACCGTGTCGGCGACCACGACCTAGACCTCGACCGCACCCCACCAGGACCTGGACCGCACCTCGACCCAGACCACGACCTGGACCTCGACCGCACCCCACCTGGACCTCGACCCCACCTCGACCACGACCTGGACCCGACCCCAGGGGGGGGGGGGGGACGACGGCGACCGCGGCCACCGCACCGCAACCGCCACCGCCGCGACCGCGCCCGCCGCAGCGACCGCGCCCGCCGCCGCCGCGCCGCCGCCGCGACTGCGCCCGCCGCGACGGCGGCGGCGGCCGCGGCGGTGGCGCGGCCGGCCCCGCGCAGGGGCGCCGCCCCCGCGCGCGGGTGGTGTCCGCCGCGGACGCGGAGGCCGCGGCTGGGGCCCTCGCCGAGCAGGCCGCGCGGCCTCGGCCGGCCGCGGCGGCCTCGCACACCGACACACGCACACGCACACGCGCACACGCACACGCACACGCACACGCACACACTCGCACACCGACGCACGCACACAAAGACACACACATGCACACATTCGCACACACACGCACACACGCACACGCACACGCACACGCACACGCACACGCACATGCACACGCACACGCACACGCACACGCACACGCACGCACGCACGCACGCACGCACGCACACACACACACACACGCACTATCACGCAAACGCACACACAGACATACACACAGGCACGCACAGACACACACACACACGGACACACACAGACACACACAGACATACACAGGCACACACAGACACACACACAGACACACACACACAGACACACACAGACACACACAGACACACACACACAGACACACACACACACACATACACAAACACAAACACAAACACAAACACACACACACACACTTACACACAAGTCATCGCTGATTATTAGGAAGACGTGGAGAGTACGGGAAGTGGAGGGGAAGACGAGCATGCAAAAGATGTGGGAACACATTGGGAATGTTGGGAGATTGTTGTGTGCGTAGTTACGTGTTTGTGAGCGTGTCCCTGGGCCCCTTCACGTTCTTCGGGAGTTTCTGCTGGTTCCGTCTTGCGTTACGACCGCCTTGCACGGAATCGCTAGCAGCAGGCGGTGTTCCGACGATCTTTCCAGCCGTGTCGCAGCGGATAAGCACCAGCACCTGTATCGCATTGATGTTTGGTCGTCCTCTTTGTCATTGATTGGACTGGCGCTACTTCCATGGAGGCGGGAGGGAGGGCCTCTCGGCGGCGGCGACGGAGGCCGCCACTGAGGACCGACCGGAAGAGGGGGGAGAGAAGGATGGAGGGGGCGTTTGGCGGTACAGTCGGGGCGCTGAAGAAGGAGCCCTTTTCGTTGGGGAGGGGCTCGGCGTTCCTTGACTGTTTCAAAGTTTGCCTCGGGTTTTCTTGGGGTTTTCCCTGGGAAATCGAGGTTGAACTTATGGGAAGAAGGGGCCTCGTTCCTTATTTGGGGTTCCTTAGGTCAACGCCTCGACTATACTCCTGGGTTCAGCTGTCCTGATCATGGTGTCTGCATCTTTGCCCGTCATCCGCCGCGTCCTCTCGCCGTCCCGTACCCTGCCTGCATGCCCGCTGCTGGGCCGCCTGTCCGCTGGCATGGTATATGCGGGCGGCCGCGCGCGCCTGCGGCTTGCCCAACAGAAGAGGGAGGGGACAAGCTGGGCGCTCCCGCGCTATACCTTCAGGAGGTGGAAAAAACACACATACACAATTAATCGTCGATCCCCAGGAAAGTATATCAAACTACGGGAAGTGGGGGGGAAGACAAACGCCCAGAAAATATTGGAAAATCTGGGGAGTCCCGTTATTCGTGTGTATTTACTTGTGTGTCACAGGGCCCCTTTATGTCTGACGTCCTGCCCCTCATCCGCCCAGCCTGTCCCGGTGGCGCCGGCGCGGGTGCTCTCCGTCCGCCGACGAATGCCATAGAGGACCTGGGGCCCCCGAAGGGGTTCCTCGTGTTGTGCGCAGAGCTGTTGTGCACAATGCAAGGGTACACGCTGTTCATTCCTAAGTCTTCGAAAGTTCTGTCATGTTTTGGGGGGCCAACATCCTTTCATTTCTGATCGTCCCATCCTGGGCCTCTTCCTGGCCGCTAGGGGGCCAGGATCAATTAGCAACGAGCGCAATTAGAAACGAGCACGACTCGAAATGAACAACATATAGATGGTGGCGGCGGAAGACCGGGCGGATGACGGGGAGGGAACGAATGAGGAGGAGGAGGAGGAGGAGGAGGAGGAGGAGGAGGAGGAGGAGGAGGAGGAGGAGGAGGAGGAGTGATGAGGACGAGGAGGAGCAGCAGCAGCAGGAGCAGGAGCAGGAGGAGCGGGGGGGAGCAGGAGGGCCAGGGGAAGACGGAGGACGCGGAAAGGGAGAGGGACGGCCACGACGATGGAGGACCCAGATCCGGAACCGTGGCCCGTGCTTGGGTGAGAGCGCCACTCGGAGCGAAGGGAGCAAAGCGCCGAGCCTAAGACGAGGCCAGGGCTGCAGCGGGAGCACCAGCTTGAAGCAGCAGGAACGGTCCGATCGAAGAGCCATATGAGGAGCCTCGTGTTCTTGAATCCCTGAACGCAAAGGGTGGCCTGCGTACGACGAGCTGCACCTCTCGGGCAGGATCCAGGGAGAGGAGGGCATTATTCATATATATATATATATATATGTATATATATAGGGTGCGAGAGAGGGAGAGGGAGCGAGTGAGACATGGGGGGGGGGCGGAGGGGGGGAGGGGGAGACAGAGAGAGAGAGAGAGAGAGACGAAAAGCATGGGCCAGAGGTTAGGAGGAGGAGGAGGACGAGAAGGAGGAGGAGGAGGAGGAGGAGGAGGAGGAGGAGGAGGAGGAGGCTCCGCTCATTCCCCGAGCAGTGCCTACACTGAAGGTGCCCCCGCGGAGGTCGAAGGCTTTGGCGCAAGTCTCGGGCCGCTTTCGGTGAGCGGCTGGGGCCAGGCTCCCAGTGCCATGGGTCCCCGGGGGCCCCTGGCTCTGGGCTCCGGGCCGAGCTCGGTGGGCGGCCGGGTTCCCGCCTTTTGCTTTCGGGGCTTCTGGCATCTGCACGAACGAAATGGGATGGGTACGGAAAGAATGGGTATGAAGCCCAACAGCAGTTCCTTCTCATTTTGAGCAGGACTCGCTGTCCGCGCCGCCGCGGCCTGTGTCCACTTGAGGCAGAAGGCCGCCTACCCAACAGCGGCCGCTGTTGGTCTGGGACAACATTTGTTGTTGGGCATTGTGCCCGTTCTTTCGGTACCCATTCCGGGCGTCCAAATGGCAGTGTAAGGTCGGTTTGGTTCCCAGGTCCCCCAGTTTTGATGGGCCTGTCTTCCACCACCACTACCATGGGTAGCACGGGTCCTTGTCCTCCTCCTCCTTCTCCCCCTCCTCCTTCTCCTCCTCTCCCCCCTCCTACCCATGGTAGTGGTGGTGGAAAATCGGCTCATCAAGTTTCGTGGCTCCCGGCAGTGTTGGGGTCGATTTGGTTCCTGGGTTCCCGGTTCGGTGGGCGGCTGGGTTCTCGGGTTCCCGGTTCCGCGGTCCCTAGCGTTGTAAGGTTTGTGGATTATCTGGTTTTCTGGGTTCTTGTTTTTGAGTTCTTGACGGTGTAAGGCTCTGGGGTTTGGGATGTCTTGTGGTGGCCAAGCGCCTGGGTCGTTGATCGTACAGAGTACAGAGGTCAGAGAGCTGCGAGCAGAGTTGACCAGAGTGATTGGAGAGAGAGAGAGAGAGAGAGAACATTTGCGACCAATGATATTGAAAACTGGATGGGGAGGTCAGAGTGAGAGGGTACTTAAACCGTACATTGAGAGAATATAATAACAAACAAATCATCGGGCGAAGTTTGGTGTATATAATATTTATATATGTATATAGAGTGAGAGAGAGAGGGAGAAATGACATAAGGGAGATAATGAGAGAGAAACAACAAGAGACACAGACAGAGACATTGAGAGACAGAGAGAAAGGGGGAGAGAGAGAGAGAGAAGCAATATATACATATATATATATATATATACAAGACTGCAGTGGCGCTTCGCGCCATGCACCTTGGTCCTTGAAGTTTGGTATGCAGGTGGAATGGTTGCCTTTTTCCGGCATCGCCGCTATAATGATGTTATTCGTTATCCTTCCTCCATGGTTATTGTTCCTTATTTTCGCCATACCCTGCGCATGCTCCCCATCCTCCTCAGCTCTTTTTTGCAGAGGCTCTTCCTTGGAGAGCCTCTAGGGGCCTCATAAAAGTTGTTTCGGGCTTTCTTAAGGCCTTCTGGAGGCCTCCTGGGCGCATTCTGGGGGCCTCCGGGGGGTTCCTCGGGCCACCCTGCCTCCAACCGCCGTCTCCATGAACGACCGAATCACGATTTTGAATTCTTCGGAGGGTGTCTTTGGGCCATCTTGGGCCGCCATGGGGCTCTCTAAGGGCCATCTTGGACCCGTGTTGTGCTGTTTTGGGGCTTTCTTGGGCTGCCTGGAAGCCTTTTCGGATGGTTGTGGGGCGATTTGGGAACCTCCCAGGCGGCTTCGGACGCCCAGAAGACCGCCGTCTTGGAGCGTCGGGAAGCCGAAAAGAGGAGAACCCACAATTCACCAAAAACCAACAGAATATCAATGATTTTTGTCTCGGGGGGCCTTCTTGGGAGTGCTCTTGGAGGTCTCTTTGGGGCCGTCCTTGAGGTCACGTCGGTCACTCTTGGAGCGCTCTTGTGCTGTCTTGGGGGTCTCTGGGACGTCTCCGATGACCCCCCTGATCGCCCTAAGTGTGCTGGGAAGGCTTGGCAAAACGCCTTGCGAGGCCCGGTGGCCGCTTCAAAGCCCGTCCGGAGGGCCCCAAAGCCCCAGGTCCCGGGAGTCCATTTTTTGGAAGAGGAATATATTTAGAGAGAGACACCCAAACACTCAAGCACCGTTTTCATCTTTATATACACATGTGCATGCGTATGTATATACAATGTGGGTACGGACAGATGTATATACACATGTATGGTAATATACGTGTGTGTATATGTATATGTTTATGTATATATATGTATATATGAGAGAGTAGGCTTGTGGCAATCGAGCGCAGAGCCAGGAGTGAGGGCAAACCATGTAAGCATATATACATGTACATCAAGGGTACACCACAGAGAGACAGAGCTTCAGAAACAGAGGGAGAGATACACACAAAACAAGTGCCAGAGAGCAAGGAATATAGAGGGCTGTCGTGCAACGCATGGAAATTCACAGGACATCCATTGATTGAGGTTTTGCTCTGGTGCAGTCTCTTCTCATCTCTTACTACCCTCCCTATTTCTCGTCCACGTCCACGCCATATCACCACCCTCTCATGACTCGCCTCTCCGTCCCTTCCCACCACTCCCCTTTCCGCCCTCTGCCCCTTCTTGTCCCCAGCCTCGCCCCCCCCTTTCCCCCCCCCCTCCCCTGCCCTTCTCCCCCCGCTCGACGGGGCATCGACTGGCGGCGCTGCTGGAGCACATCAGGCCGAGCAGGAGGGCAGCTCCTGCGCCATCGCGGCTGCTGCTGCGGCCGTGTCACCCACGGGCGCGCAGAGCACCGTGCGCCGCGCGCCGGTGCGTGGGCGGGAGCCGTCTATCTCCAGGGGGCGACGCGGGGGCGCGAAGGCGACCTCCTTCTCCTCGCCCTCCTCCTCGCCCTCCTCCCCCTCCTGCTCCTCCTCCTCCTCCTCCTCCTCCTCCTCCTCCCTCCTCGCCCTCCTCCCCCTCCTGCTCCTCCTCCTCCCTCCTCCTCCTCCTCCTCCTCCTCCTCCATCCCTTTTCCTCATAGGCTTCTCCCTGTCGCACCCCGAGGCCAGTTTTTTGGGCCGGCCGGGGGTTTCGCCCTGAAGCTTAAGCATTGGCAACAGCTTCGCAGATGGAGGGCGGGTCGTTTTCAGAATGTGGCTCTCGCTTTAGCGCCGCGCACATTCGTTTTTCAAAGCTAGAGAGTTTCACGGATTGAAGGAGGGCCGTTTTCAAATTGTGGGTCTCGCCTTAGCAACGCGCACATTCGTTTGAAACGTTGCAAGAGTTTCGCGGATTGGGGGCGGGGCGTTTTCAAATTGTGGTTCTCGCTTTAGCGCCGCGCACATTCGTTTGAAACATTGCAAGAGTTTCGCGGATTGGGGGAGGGTCGTTCTCAAACTGGCTCTCGCCTTAGCGCCGCGCTCATTCGTTTTAAGCATTTGCAGCAGTTTCACGGATTGAGGGCGGGTCGTTTTCAACATGTGGCAATCGTCTTAGCGCCGCGCACATTCGTTGCAACAAATTGTAAGAGCTTCACGGGTTCCCATGCTCAGCATACCAGAAATGGTGTTTGGGACGGGTTCAGGCTTACAGTATGAGGGGCAACATTTACGTTGATTCGCGGTGTTGGAGTGCCAGGAATGGCGTTCTGGCGCGAATCAGGATCGTCAAGACCTCCGCGAGCTCGTATGCGGAAGAGGTGACGGCCGCAAAGGCAAGGCTGTTCCACGAGTTGTGAGATGAGGGGTCCCTCAGCCAGGAACAGGCGGCGTAGATGAAGTCAGCGCTGGGCCTCGGGGAGGTGGCGGCGCCGACCAGCCAGTAGTGAGCGAGTGAGGGGTGATTCGGTCTCCTGCCAACGCGGGTCGTGTTCCGACCACGGCGCGGGCCGTGGTTCGGCTAGCATCCCTCGTTTCGCATTCTGCAGCGGGTTGTTGCCTCTGCCTGGCGCGGGCCGTGGTGCGGCTACCGCGCAGGCAGCCCTCTTGCAGCGGGATGCTGCCACAGTGGAGTTTCCTGCGCGGGCCGAGGATCGGCCCGCGTGCGGGCCCCCGCTGACGGTGTCGCCGAACTGCGGCATCCTTCGCCTGAGTGCCAGGGGGCATGCTCCAGTTTTCCGATCTACCCGGATCTGCCCTCCTCCTGCCCCTCCTCCTCCTCTCCTTCCCCCTCCTCCTCCTCCTCCTCCTCCTCCTCCTCCTCCCCTCCTCCTCCTCCTCTCTCCTCCTCCTCCTCCTCCTCCTCCCCCCTCGTCCTCCTCCTCCTCCTCCTCCTCCTCCTCCTCCTCCTCCTCCTTCTCCCTTGCCCCCTCCTCCTCCCCTTTCCTCCCCTCCTCCTCCTCTCCTCTCCTCCTCCTCCTCCTCCTCCTCCCTCCTCCTCCTCCTCCTCCTCCCCCATCGTCCTCCTCCTCCTCCTCCTCCTCCTCCTCCTCCTCCTCCTCCTCCTCCTCCTCCTCCTCCTCCTGGGGGGTGACGAAGGGGCTGCTCGTGCGGTGCCTGCTGGCCGCGGGAGGCCCGTGCGCACGCTTTTGCGGCTCTCGTCCGCGCGCCGCATGCGGCCCGGGAGCTCTGCCAATCGCGTGACGCGCCGCTGGTTCTGGCCCACTGCGCTGTGCCGCGACACGCTGACCTTAAATCGGGCGTGTCCCCCTACAGAGGGATTTTGCGACGGAAAGTAAAACATACCCCCTAAAATATTAAAAAATAGTCCAAACATAGTCCGGGGACTATTTTTTTAGTTTTTTTTTTTGCGTTTTCGGAGTATTTTTTGTATTTTTTATTTTTCGTCGAAAATCCATCCATCTGTAGGGGGACACGCCCGACATAACGCTGACCGTGTCTTGAGTGGGGCCGAGGGTCAGAGAGCGCTCTCCTTTGCCGGGCCACCAAGACATCAAGGCGGTCCAACGCTTTTCCGTAGCCATTTTGGCTCAAGCTACTGCCGTGTTTTTCTCGGGCAGGGGTAGTCTTGACTCGAGGATCAGTTGTACGGGTGGGCGCGGCTAGTTGTTGTTTCCGGCCCAGCGTCAACCATGCCGACGGGGAAGGTCAAGAAGTTTTTCGAGGACAAGGGCTTCGGTTTCATCACTCCTGACGACGGTAGCGATGACGTGTTTCTGCATCGCAAAGTGCACGGGGATGGCCAAGACCGCACCGCGTACATAGAAGAGGGCGCCTCCGTCACGTACGAGGTGGAGTGGGACGACCGCAAGGGCAAGTACTCAGCCTCGTCTTGCGAGGGCCCCTGGAAGACAGGCGGTGGAGGCGGTGGTGGTTGGGGCGGCGGCGGAGGTGGTTGGGGCGGTGGCGGTGGTGGAGGCGGCTGGGGCGGCGGTGGGAAAGGCGGTGGGAAAGGCTATAACGCCTGGTGAGATGGAGCCCGACGTTTCGGGCGGCCCGGGTGATTGTGAAAGGCGGCTGCGGCGGTGGCGGCTATAACGCCTACGGAGATCGGAGCGCACACGGTCGGGGAGCCTTGTGTACAGGATTCTTTCCCGGAGTGCACGTCATGATCCGTTATAGATGTGCGAGCTAAAATTACCCTGGCGAAGGACCCAACCTAATGCAGTTGTGGATACCGCAATTGTGAAAATCTTCTTCGGTGAAACTCCCTATGGGGCCACGAAGCGCTGCACTGGGTGGGGGGGAACGCTGTTCTGGGTGAGTGGTGTGTCAAATAAGGTTTCGGGACGCATGCGGACGGTCCCACTGGGGGCTTTGGTGGAGCTCCCTATGGGGCCACGAAACGCTGTACTGGGTGCGTGAAAACGCCAAACTGGGTTTCCGGGACGCATGCGGACGGTCCCACTGGAGGCTTCGGTGGAACTCCCTATGGAGCCATGAAGCGCTGTACTGGGTGGGTGAAAATGCCAAATTGGGCTTCCGGGACGCATGCGGACGGTCCCACTGCGGGCTTCGGTGGAGCTCACTAAGGGGCCCCGAAACGTTGTATTAGGTGGGTGAAAATGCCACGTTGGGTTTTCGGGACGCATGCGGACGGTGGCACTGGGGCCTTCGGTGGAGTTCCCCACGGGGCCACAATGGGTGTTCCGGGACGCTTGCGGACGGTCCCACTGGGGCCTTCGGTGGAGCTCCCTGTGGGGTCACGAAACGCTGCACTGGGTGGGTGAAAATGCCAAATTGGATGTGCGGGACGCATGCGGACGGTGGCACTGGGGCCTTCGGTGGAGCTCCCTGTAGGGCCACGAAACGCAGTAATGGGTGGGTGACAATGCCAAATTGGGTGTTCAGGACGCATTCGGACGGTCCCTCTGGGGGCTTCGGTGGAGCTCCCTATGTGGCCACGAAACGCTGTACTGAGTGGGGGGACGCATGTGGACGGTGGCACTGGGGCCTTCGGTGGGGCTCCCTGTGGGGCCACGAAACGCTGTACTGACTGGGGATGACGCATGTGGACGGTAGCACTGTGACCTTCGGTGGGGCTCCCTATGGGGCCACGAAGCGCTGTACTGAGTGGGGGGGACGCGTGTGGACGGTGGCACTGAGGCCTTCGGTGGAGCTCTCCCTATGGGGCCACGAAACG